CATTCTTTCCAACCAGGAATTGAACCGGGGTCTCCTGCACTGCAGACGGATTCTTTACCAACTGAGCTATCAGGAAAGCTCAGAGATGAAGCCATCTGGATTCGCAGTGACTGAAATATCCAGGAATATTCTTAGGATTATATTCTAGTAAATTATTATGGCCTCAGAGCTTTGCAGGAATATCCCTTAGAACATGACTAGTTCTGGTTCTCAACTATGCCTTTTCTGAGCTCACATGTTCTCTGTGCTCTATTACAAGCCACTATCCTTTACCACAAGCCTTTAAAGGTTAGAGTGATAATAATCAGAGTCATGGAATTAGGGATTGAAAGCTATCTCAAAGGTCATCTGGCTCCAACCTCATATCTGTGACATGGCTGACAAATAATGAGTCAGAGTCACATCCAGTGGAAATGATTTCATGCTTCCGAGGGCCAACTCTTCATCTCATGGAAGGCTTTATTAGAAAGTTCTTTCTTCTGTGGGGCACAAACCTGCCTCACCATAGTTAGATTTTTTTTTTCTGCATCTAAGCAACTGTGATGAATGTCTTACCACATGTAGTGAATGAGAAAGTGCAAGAGTTTCAAATTGACCATAAGTTTCTTGGCTTTCATCACCTTCACAGGGCCTGTCAAATGGTTTAGGTTTCAAAACTTAAACCCTTGGCCTTCACTAAGCCTTCCCAATATCTTCTGTCAAGAGGCTTCCTGGACTTTTGAAGGGAAAGTAAACCAAATGGGCGTTTGTTTCTCATCAGCGAAAGCAAAGTGCTTGCAGAGGCCAGCTGGGCTATTTTTGTCTGTGGGTTGTGGATGGTTGCCAAGACTGAGCAGGGGTGTTTGCCTGTGGTGAAGACACAGACGCGGATTGGTGGAGATGACTACTGATGCAGGAGAAGGATCCAGAACCTAAGAAACTTGTTGAGGTGATCCTAGCTTGACCTGCAAGCTCAGACCTCTCTGTCTCCTCACTTGCACCTCCTCATCTGTGGGCTCAGGACTGCTATGGGATTCCCCTCCAGATAGGAAGCAGATATCAAGCCTTTGGTTGGGCCTGGTCATGTAGTGCCCTCATCTTACCGTATGATGCTCTCATTGATGGTACCCTGGTGAGTCCCAAGTATCCTCACCACCATCCTCTCTTGTGGGACTCTGCACTGCTTTGGCCAGATGCAGACAGCTGGGGTGGGAGGAGAGAACCACCTGAGATTTTTGTTGTTGTTGTTCGGTCACTATGTTGTGCCCAGCTCTTTGTGACTGTTTGGACTGCAGCATATCAGGCTTCCCTGTCCTTCACTATCTCCCAGAGTTTGCTCAGACTCATGTCCATTGAGTCGGTGATGCTATCTAACCATCTCATCCTCTGCCACTCCCTCCTCCTTTTGCCTTAAGTCTTTCCTAGCATCAGATGGCACAAAATCTCAAAGAAGTCAAGCTAACCTGAGGTATCTGGGAACAGATTCAGATTCAAAGACTGAACGTCATCCAGAGAAACACCAGCTCCACCAGTCCCAGAATGCTAGGATTTCAGAGCCAAGAATTTGTAACCAGGTAGATTTAAGACTGGGGCTTCCCAGGTAGCTCAGTGGCGAAGAATCTACCTGCCAACGCAGGAGACACAAAAGATGCAGGTTCGATCCCTGGGTCAGGAAGATCCCTTGGAGTAGTAAATAGCAACCCACGCCAGTAGTCTTGCCTGGGAAACCCCATGGACAGAGGAGACTGGCAGGCTATAGTCCATGGGGTCACAAAGAGTCAGATGAGACTGAGAACAGATCTAGGATTATATGGAAGCAGTTTGGGAATAAGCCAATGCAGTTCAATTCAGTTCAGTTGCTCAGTCATGTCCAGCTCTTTGCGACCCCACGGACTACAGCACACCGGGCTTTCCTGTCCAACACCTGGAGCTTGCTCAAACTCATGTCCATCACAGGGTCCTGAGTTATTTTAGTATTTGCGTTTTTCTTTAAGAGTCCATGCGTGTTGAATGCATACACATGAATGAGTGTGAATTCAGGGTGATTTAAAAAAAAATTTTTTTTTTTTTTGGCTTGCCCAGATCTTAGTTGCAGCTTGCAGGGTCTTTAGTTGTGACATGTGAACTCCTAGTTGCAGCGTGTGGGATCTAGTTCCCTGACCAGGGATTGAACCTGGGCCTCCTGTATTGGCAGTGCAGTCTTAGCCACGGGACCATTGGGGTTTGTTTTTTTTTAAATAGAGATTTTAAAAATATAGATTAAAATACAGATTTCTGGGCCCTGCTTTTAGAAATTTTGATTCAGGCAGTCTGGGCAGGACCCAGAAAGCCATCTTTTGGAAATTTCCCCAGATGACTCTGGTTTGTGTTTGGGAATCATCAGCTTAAATGGCTGGAGGTCAGGCAGACACCTGTGCTGGGTCTCTTTGCTGACCTCTGAACTTTCTGTCCTCAACTGTGGTACCGTGTGGACTGTATCTTTTCTCTCACCTACCTGGATGCCTCTCGTGACTTGATTACCTCCTGGCCCGGTTTTAGCAGGTCTCATGGCTGCTGTGAGCTAATGATAAAGAATACTTAGCACAGCGCCTGGTATTCAATAATTACTCAATGGAAGTCAGTTGTTATTATCTCTGATTACAATTATATAATAGGCCTGAATTGGACAACCCATTAGACCTTGCAATCATATTCCTTAAAGACAGTGTAACTAGGTCAACCTCCTACCTCTTACATTAATCCCTGGAATCTTACATTAATCTCCTCCAGGAAACTTCTTCCTATTTGGCCCCATTGCATTCTCACTTGGTGCCAGCCTGATTTTCTTGGGTTTGCTTTCTATTTTTCTGGCAGGAACTGGAGCAGGTATAACCCCCCTTTGTTTAGAAATACTCTCCGCTAGATGAGAGGAGCTGGGCCTCCAACTCACCGTGTTCTGGTGGTTTGTTTCCATTCCTCTGTGGTTGTGTTTATGATTGTGGTACAACTACTTGGAACTGAACTACAGTTTCTTTGGAGACAGGGGTATTCTGTAGACATAGTGTGAAATTCTTTGGACTGAGAGGTCCCTAGAATGTAATACAATATCTCTGCTGGCTCTAGAACTACCCGGAGTAGATAGGATTCTACTGTTACAACTAGAACTAGAGTAAACGCTGGATTCACTTATTTGCTCATTTGTTCAACTAATGTTCCTGAGTACTTTTAAGGGTGCCAGGCACTATGCTAATACTGGGAAGAAAAAGAGGGCCCCACATTTCAGCCCTCTTTGTCCCCTCTCCAGTCCATTGATTGCAACACTGCCAAATTAACCTTCTTTCGTTCATACTCATAGTTACTGAACACCTACTATGTGCTGGGGAAAAAATTGGTAGGATATAGTTCCTGTCTCCCAGGAGCTCACAGCTTGACCGGAAAGCAAGCTCAGAACCACATAACTATTCTATTTCAAGTACTGTTTGGAATGAGTGAAATGTGTTTATTCTACCAAGGCCTTAGTACTAACTCAGAGCTATAACAGAAATGTGTATAGGATAAAGGAGCATGAGAATTAAATTTACTTCAGAAGTGTCATTCACTTAATAAGCGTTTACTGAATGCCTACTATATGCCTGGCATTATCGACAACCCACCTCAGTATTCTTGCCTGGAGAATCCCCATGGACAGAGGATCCTGGCAGGCTACAGTCCATGGGGTCGCAAACAGTCGGACACGGCTGAGCTGTTAAGCACATGCTAGGCAATAGAGAAAAACAGCCTCTGCTTTTATGGAATAGACTTTGGAAGTATGGACTCTAAAGAGTAAGAAAAGGATACAAATTCACAGGAGACTGAGTTTGTGTCTTGGCTCTTCCATTGATTAGCTGTGTGATCTTGGGCAAATTACCTACCTTCTCTGAGCCTCACAATTCTCATCTATAAAATGGAGGGAGTAACATCTACCGTACATACTGGGAAGGTTAGAGAGGATTTTTTTAAAAAGCTTTCGGCCCAATCACCCTCATTCTCATCTCCCACCTTGTATAACAGGCGGTGCCTGACTGCCGCCCCAGCCTCTAGTTCCCCAAGGGCGGTGACTGCCATATGCAGTTCTGTGCCTGCTGCGACAGCTCCTTCTTCTCTCCTGCCCATGTCTGGCTTCTAGTCCCTCGCTGCTGCTCTTCCTTCTCCCAGGCCTCGGGCACCATCCGCTGACCAGGGACCCCGGCCAGGCTGGACTGACTCTTATCACAGAAGCAACGCAAAACTGGGGCACGGAGCAGGAAGCTGGTGTGGTTGGTTCGTTCCTAGTCTCCCGCAGGTTCCTGATGCACTCCTCAGTTCTAACCTCCACCCCTCCCAGCTTCCTGAACCTCAGCCCTGCCCCTGTCCTCTCTCCTGCCGTCCATGTTGCCTGCCGACTGCCTGTCCGACTTCCTTCCTGACCTGCTTCTCCACGCTGGCTCTTGGGGCCTGACTGATACAGCACTGTCTGCTTTGGAAACCTGTGCTCACACACTCATCCCAGCTGGCCTCTAACCCTCCCACTCTGACCAATGCCCTAGTGGAATCCTTGCTGTCAGTTTTTCCGCCCCAGTTGGACTTCCACCCATCCCGACCCCTCCACAAACATGCATTGAGTTCTAAAGCGTGCCAGGCTCTGGGCTGGGGAACACACAGACAGACAAAATGGTCCCTACTCTGAACCACGTATGTGACGGACCTGGTCTTCAACTCCCTCAGGATAAAAAGAGTTGTGTTGGAAAAGGAGTCTCTAGTCTCCATCATGAGGTTTTCTTGCTCACTTTGCTGAGTGGACAACAATATGCCTTCTGATGGAACCCTTGAGGTACCCCTTTATATCTGACCTGCAAGAATCTTGCAGGGCAAGGAGCAGTGGATTGATAAATAGTTAATGAATACTTACCATGTTCCACGTACTGGGCGTACAACAGAGACTATGATTTACTTTCTGCCCTTGCAGAGCTTGGAGCCTGTGCTAGAGAGAACAGAGGTACCCAAAGATGTCTGTGTCCTAATCCATGGATGCTGTGAACACACTATGCTACCCAGCAAAGGGAATTAAGGTTGCAAACGGAAGGTAAGATTGCTCACCAACTGACTTTTTTTTGGCCGTGCCACGTGGGTTGTGGGATCTTAGTTCCCCGGCCAGGGATCAAACCCAGGGCGCAGCAATGAAAGCACCAGGTCCTAACCACTGGACCACCAGGGAATTCCCAAGTAGGGAGGCTATACTGCCATATTTGGGTGGGATCTGTGTAATCACAAGATCCTTAAATGTGGAAGGGACAGGAGAGTTGGTATCTGAGTGATGTGACATAGGAAAGACAACCAGCCATTGCTAGCTTAAAATTTTTTTTTTTTTGCCTTGCCACATGGCTTATGGGAATCTTAATTCCCTGACCAAGATTTGAACCCAGGCCATTGGCACCAGAAGCTCATAGTCCTAACCTCTGGGCTGTCAGGGAATTCCACTGCTGGCTTTGAAGATGAAGAAGCCGTGTGCTAAGCATCTAGACACTGGAAAAGGCAAGAAACCAGATTCTCCCTGGAGCCTCCAAAAGGAACCCAGTCCTGCCACCACCTTGGTTGTAGCCCAGTGAAACCCATTTTAGACTTCTGACCTTCACAACTATAAGATAGTAAATCTGTATTGTTGTCAGTCACTGTTTGTGGTGAATTGTGACAGCAGCAATAGAAAACAAATCCAGAGCTCAACTCAGAATGGAAGTTAAAAAGGGATTAAAGTTCAATGTGATGAGTGCAGGGACAGAAGTACTGAACTCTGCGAGACTACACACAAGAGGCCCCAGCCCAGTCTTAGGAGGTCGGTAAGGGGGCAGTCAGGCAGCACCTCCTGGAAGGAGAGGGCTGGGCACCTACGGGAGAGAGAAGGAGTCAGACAAGAATCTGCTGTAATCGTGAGAGGGGACAGTGATCTCGTCCAATGAGCGTCCAGAGGTGTGTGGTGTCTGGACTACGAAACCGAGAGAGATACCCGAAGGACTGCTCTGGGCTAGTCCCTCTGCCTGCAGTTTCTCCTTTTAGGAGAGGAATTTTGCTCGTGCTTTCAAAATGTAAAAGATGGATAAATTACTGGTACCAAATTCATACCACAGACTATTATGCCTCTATTAAAAAGTAAATTTAAATATTATTTTCACAGAACAAAATGTAAAAGGCACAATTTGACCCAGCAAGTCTCACTGCCAGGAGTTTATCCTGCACACGTACCTTTACAGGAGTTTAAAGATGAATGTACAAGGAAGCTGAACGGTTTCTAATAGGTAAAATGAGAAATATCCTGTGTCCATAGATGGGTGGATGCTTTTGAACTGTTGTGTTGGAGGAGACTCTTGACAGTCCCTTGGACTGCAAGATCAGACCAGTCCATCCTAAAGGAAATCAGTCCTGAATATTCATTGGAAGGGCTGATGCTGAAGGTGAAACTCCAATACTTTGGGCCACCTGATGATAAGAACTGTCTTGTTGCACAAGACCCTGATGCTGGGAAAGATTGAAGGCCGGAGGAGAAGGGGATGACAGAGGATGAGATGGTTAGATGGTATCACCGACTAGGTGGACGTGAGTTTGAGCAAGCTCTGGGAGTTGGTGATGAACAGGGAAGCCTGGCATGCTGCAGTCCATGGGGTCGCAAAGAGTCAGATATGACTGAGCGACTGAACTGAACTGATAGGTGGGTGATTAGTTATATTAGTATTTGAGGTGTCCATGGTGTGACATTCTATGAAACTTACTAAAAGTAAGGCAGGAAATCTATTTGACCTGATAAGTAGAGAGATTTATCCAAAGCAGGATGCTTTGAGTGTGGGAATCTGTTGATAATTAAACAGAATGGACTGTCCCAGGCAAACTGGGACATACAACCATACCAATGAAAAGAATGATCTCCAAGGAAGATCTTTAGGTGAGAAAGGCAAGATGTATAACAATATGCATAGCATGACTCCATTTGTATGAGATTTTTGTTTTTGTGTGAGATCTTTTTTTCTGTTTTAATAATATTTACTTATTTATTTTGGACTGTGCTGGGTCTTCATTGCTGCCTGGGCTACTCTCTACCTGAGGTGCTCGGATTCTCATTGTGGAGCCTTCTTTTGTTGCAGAGCACAGGCTCTAAGGCATGTGAGCTTTGGTAGCTGTGGCTCCTGGGATCTAGAACACAGGCTCAAGAATTGTGGTGCACAGAATTAGCTGTTCCTCGGTATGTGGGATCTTTCTGGATCAGGGATGGAACCTGTGTCTCCTGCATTGGCAGGCGGATTCTTTACCACTGAGACATCAGGGAAGCTCTGTGCGAGTTTTTTAAAGAAATGATAAAGTCTCCTAGTTACCTATGCATAAATGTTTTTTCATAAGAATATGCAAAGAGCTGATCCCCACAGATCTGGGGAGAATGCCGTAATGCCTCCACACCAGGTTCTTATATTCATTGTGAAGTATATATACTGGATATTTAAATTACTTTTATAATAAAGACACCAAGTTGACTGGGTACATATATTCCTTTCATAATAAAACTGCAAATTCAAATAAGGTCATAGAAAGTCAAACACAATTGAGTTAGCCGTTTGCTCCCAGTCTTCCTCCAGTCCTTAGGTCAGCTGCCTCACCAGTCTCCCCACTCTCAGTTTGGCTCAGGGTCTTCACACACTACTGAGTCTGAATCCCAACAGTTTCAATAGAAGGTGATGGAAAACCAAAACATGATCAATAAATAACACATCAATATCACATGAAAGAATCCTTCTCGGTGTCCAACTGGGACAGTTATAAAAGAAGAGGCTACATTTTCTAGAGAAAATTTTCAGCCTCCTCTTTGAAGCTGCCAGTTCTCACCTCAGAGGAAACAGGTGCCCATTTGTAGAAAATGTTTCTCTTCTGTTAATGTATTTTAAAACCTACTGCCGGACAGTAACTTGTTCCTGCCACTCCCTTTTCCTTCTGCACTGAGAGGAGTACGTTTGACAATTTTGCTCCTTTAGACGATAACTTTCTTCCACGAAGGGAAGGGTTGAATTCTTGGTCATTCGTCCACCCACTTCCTGAGAAAAGGTCACTTCCTCAATCCTTATTACGGACCCCGCCTGAGAGCAGGGTGGGAAGGACTGTTTTTCAGCTGGTGGGGTCACGTTTGCCTCAAGACCTGTTGGTTTCCATGGATGTTTATCTCCCTGGAACTTCACTTTCAAGGAAAAGGAGGCCCCAAAGCAACCAGTTGAAGAGACTGAGAGGGTGGAGGTTGTTTGATGTTTCCCTGAACAACTTTTTGACAGAATCCCTGTCAGACTTATTCTGTTCCTGCCCTTTCTCCACCCCTTGAGACCACTTAACTCTTCTAGATTTGGAGAACTTTTCCTCCCAGTGAGACTGCAGGATGAAGGGGAATAATAACACCAGTAAGTGGTTGGGCTAGGGCTTGACCAAGTCTGTCTGCCTCAGAAGGCTGTGTGAGGGATTTCCTGGTGGTCCAGTGGTTAAGAATCCGCCTTGCAATGCAGAGGACACAAGTTCAGTCCCTGGTCAGGGAACTAAGATCCCATGTGCTACAACTATTGAGCCCATGGGCCACAACTGGAGAATCTGTGAGCTGTAATGAAAGAATAAGCATGATGCAAGGAATATCTGATGCAGCCAAAAAAACAAACAAAAAAAGCCTGTGAGATCTCCATACACCTGGCCCATTCCTGAAACTGAAAGTGTGTATCGCTCAGTCATGTTCAATTCTTTGTGACAACATGGACTGAAGCCCACCAGACTGCTCTGTCCATGGAATCTGCCAGGCAAGAATACTGGAGTGGGTTGCCAAGCTCCTCCTCCAGGAGATCTTTCCAACTCAGGGATTAAAACCAGGTCTCGTGCATTGCAGGCAGATTCTTTACTGTCTGAACTACCAGTTCAGTTCAGTTCAGTCACTCAGTCGTGTCTGACTCTTTGTGACCCCATGGACTGAAGCATGCCAGCCCTCCCCGTCCATCACCATCTCCCGGAGCTTGCTCAAACTCATGGCCATTGAGTTGGTGATGCCATCCAACTATCTCATCCTCTGTCATCCTCTTGTCCTCTCGCCTTCAATCTTTCCCAGCATCAGGGTCTTTTCCAATGAGTCAGTTCTTTGCATCAGGTGGCCAAAGGATTGGCGTTTCAGCTTCAGCATCAGTCCTTCGGATGAATGTTCAGGACTGATTTCCTTTCAGATGGACTATCAGGGAAGCCCTTTATTGTTGCACCACCTGGGAAGCCCAGCCCATCCCTAGCTCATCCCATCTCTCTCCTTCTGGGAATTCAGCGCCCCCTTCAGGCAGGGCTCTTCTCAGCTCTTACCTCACTGCTCCTCCAGACTCTTACCTCACCCTCCAGACTGTTCTCTAGATACGCTCCACCACATCCTTGCCATCCTTACTCCCTGTTCAAGTATCTCACCTGTTCAGAGTACCCTTTCAGTCCTATCTTTTTCATAGAGATTTCCCTGGACACCGATGTTATGCTAAAAAGATATCAGATTTTTAAAATTCTTTAAAAGCAATATGCAGAAGACTGTTATCATCATCATTAATGATAAGAAAATCGTTGACTATAGTTGGGGGGCACATTCAAGCTTCAGGCTTTCCCCGGTGGCAGCCTGTGTTAGAAGCACTGGATTCTCCAGGCTGCTTTTCGCAACTCTGACCTGGAGCAGCAGGAGCACTGACAACCCAGAAGGCCCCCAGGCTGTCCTGCTGCGCGGGGTGAACGCTCAGCCAGCCAGAACCAGCCTGATGGCAGTAGGTACTGCAGACTGCAATTTGCACGTCAGATCCCAAGCTGTTTGGCCTCAAATACAAAGGAGTCACTTTCTAAGAGGAAGTCAGTTCTTTCTATGACCGACGTGATGCCATTGAAACAACTCCTGGTCACTCTCTCTCTTGGGGTATAGCAGGGAATGGTGTGGTCTTCGGATGGATCCTAGACACTCATGCATCCGGCTCCTCTGACCAGGACATTCTAGCCGTCACTGCCAGTCCAGGGGTTTCTATTTCCAGCTATTAGTAGAGAGAGAATATGGGCTGGAGTCAGAGAATCATTAAATGTTCAGAGGTGGAGGGATTCAAGGAGAAATCCAATATCCTCTGATAAGGTATTGATAAATGAGGCCAGAGAGATTTCAGAAGTTGTTCCCAAATCCTGATCCTGGGGTCTGCCAGTCTTCTGAAAAGCAAAAATAAAAAAAAAGAAGGACAAAGTTGTTCAGTCGCTAAGTCATGTCTGACTCTTTGCAACCCCGTGGACTGTAGCATGCCAGGCTTCCCTGTCCTTCACCATCTCCCAGAGTTTGCTCAAACTCATGTCCATTGAGTTGGTGATGCCATCCAAAAGTAGTGAGTTTAAAAAATAAATGAAAGTTATTTAACTTAAAAGACATCCCCTTTATTCTGATATTCTGGTTTTGCCTTGTTTTGCTGTTAAAATGCCTTTTCTTCTATGAAGTGATGTTGATAGCAGATGGCGGGTGATTTTTAACACTCTTAAAAGGAAAGACTTGGGTTACTCAGCAGTGACTGCTCATGTATATACCTCGCCAGGGCGGAGCTGAGTTTGCATTTCTGTTACTCATTGTTTTCTTCTGAGAGACACATATGCCTGACTCTGCGTAAATGATTTTACATCCTGACCTTCATGTTTTGCATCTATAAAATGAGGGATAATAAAACCTGCCCTGTGTCACAAAGGCTAAAATGAGACAACGGAGAGGCAAGAACTTCAAGAAGTAAAATTTTTACACTAAACAAGGGCTTGGAGTGATTATTGTGTCTGTCAGTTGATTCTTGATGCTCCAGCTGTGTGGATTGTTTGCTCTGAACACTGTATTCGTTTCCTAGGGCTGCTGGAATGAAAACCGCACACCAGTGGCTTACGGCAGCAGGAATGTGTTTGCTCACAGTTCTGGAGGCAAGGTCTGAAACAAGATGCCGGCAGGGTCGTGCTCCCTCCACAGCCTCTAGGAGACGGTCTTTCTGCGCCTTCCTCCAGTCTCTGGCGGCCCCAGGGTGTCCGTGGCTTTTGACGGCTTGTCTCCTCTCTCTGCTGGTTTTCCCACGGCTGTCTTCACTCTGCGTGTCTCTGCCTCTTCACGTGGTGTCCTTTTGTAAGGAAACCAGCCATAGTGGATTGGGGTCCAGCCTCCTCCAGTACGACCCTATCTTAATTGATTTCATCTGCACAGACTGTTTCCCAATAAGATCACTTTCTGAGGTACTGAGGGCGTCCCTGGAGGCTCAGACGGTAAAGAAACTGCCTGCAGTGCAGGAGACCTGGGTTCAATCCCTGGGTCGGGAAGATCCCCTGGAGGAGGATGGCGCCCCACCCCAGGATTCTTGCCTGGAGAATCCCATGGGCCTGGCGAGCTACACAGTCCATGGGGTCTCAAAGAGTTGGACAGGACTGAGAGACAAACTTTCACTGAGAACTCGGATTTCAATATATCTTTTCTTTGGGGGCAGGGGGAACACAATTCAGCCCGCAACAAAGATCATCTAGGTGCGTTTTTAAAAATCTTTGTTTATGTATTTATTTGGCTGCCTTGGGTCAGTTTCAGCACGCAGGATCTTCACTGCATCTTTCATTGTGCTGCACCGGCTCTCTAGTTGAGGCGCGGACGGGCTCAGTAGTTGTGGCCATGAGCTTAGTTGCTCCACGGCAGGTGGGCTCTTTGTTTCCCCCTCCAGGGATTGAACCCGAGTCCCCTGCATCAACAGGCAAATCCTTAACCCCTGGACCACTGGAAGTCCCATCTAGGTAAGTTTTAAGTTGCATTTTAAGTAGCACCAGCTACCCTGATTTTAAGAAAAGCAAATTTTAGTCTTCCACCCTTCTAAGAAGAAACGCTGTGAAGCAGAAAGGAAGAGAAGTGGTGGGAGGGGTAGAGAATTTTGGAGGAGAATTCTAGCAGCTGGTTAATCCTTGGCTCCAGAGGAATGGAGCCCCTTGAGTAGCAGTGATCAGAGCTGGAAAGCAAATCCCAGGCTGTGCTGATTCCTCAAAGAGCTTTTAACTGGAGTGTGGCCCCCGCAGAGCAATCTGCAGGGCCAGGGAGAGGGGACGGAACCACAGCTTCTTTGGTCAGCACACTTGGGCCTGAAGCAATGTTTATTCATGAAGGGCCTGCGCTGGGTTCTGCTCTGCCCAGAGCCAACACACTGGTGGCAGGGACACTGCTGGGCAGTCCGGCCTCGCCAGGCCCTGGGGCCAGTTGAAATAACACCAGCACCTTTCTTTCCTAGCTGCCAGCCTCCACTTCCTTCCAGAGAGCTTTTTTTGTTTTTATCCTGACTCAAAGGTCAAAGGCAGCTGTGTTTAGTTCTCCAAAGGACTGGGCCAAGGAAGAACATGATCGCAGAAGGAATTCTGCTTAGCTCTTGCGAAGAAGCCATTCTTCATCAGGTTTATGGACCTTGAAAAAGCTGTTACTTAAGGAAGACAAGGCTGCATTATGGCTTTTGCTGGCCCTTGACATTTTTGCCTTTGTGGCCCCCTTCCTCCATTAAAATATATTTTAAATTATATTTTATATATAATTTGTATAAAGAATATAATCTAGGCTGGATTCCTTACTATATGCTGTTGTTCAGTCGCTTAGTTGTGTCCGACTCTTTGTGACCCCATGGATTGCAGTACGCCAGCCTTCCCTGTCCTTCACTATCACCCAGAGTTTGCTCAAACTCATGTCCATCGAGTCGGTGATGCCATCCAGCCATCTCATCCTCTGTCGCCCCCTTCTCCTCCTACCTTCAACCCTTCCCAGCATCAGGGTCTTTTCCAATGAGTCAGCTCTTCGCATCAGGTGGGCAAAGTATTGCATATATATCATTACTCTCTCTCTATATATATATATATATCATTATTATATATCCACTATTATTACATTCTTTTTTCCTTCTAGTATTAAAAGAAGTTAAAATTAAAATATTTGTGTCGGTCCTTAAAATATCACAGACCCTTTGCACTGCGCCTACTCTCTTTGGATCAGTTGGCCCTGGGGAGAGACTGTGCTCTTTTTAAGCATGTGGGAGTTGGGTACAGTGAGGCATGTGTGTGTGTTTATTAGATCTAGGAGAAGACTTAAAACTAATCCTGTCTGGACACAAGGGAATGACTAAGATGATCTTTTGAGACCCATGGAGCTGAAGGAATGAAGTCGAAGGTATCATGCCCTTTCTCTATATAGTTAGATGCTTCCCTTCCTCCTAAGGGCTGAGATATATATCTGAATGGAAAGTGTAACTGATATCCAACTTCAATATCTGGATACCTTGTCCAATCTCAAGATAAAAGCATGGTGGAGGATGGACAAAAAGGTTACGAGATGGGGAGAATGCCAGGACTGCTAGTCTAAACAGGGGCCCAGGGCCTGACAGTGTTGCAAATCAACACAGATCCTTCCTAGCTGGGGTCCTCCCGGAATAGTTTTCTCTCAGGCTGTAGCTATTCACAGTTTTGAGCACAAAGTACTTCATCTTCCATCTAACAGAACACTAACCTACCTTCTCCTCCATCAAGGGAAGTTGTACCAATTTTACAGAATCTGGGGAGCATTTACTGAGCTTTGGGGTTGGCAAACTTTTTCTGTAAAGGCCCAAGCTATACGTATCTTAGGCTTTGCAAGTCTTTTGGTCTTTTTGAAACAATTTAATTCTGCTGTCATAGAACAAAAATTGCCATAGATAACCAATGGGTATGGCTCTGTTCAAATTAAACTTTATTTACAGAAACTGACAGAGGGCAGGATTTGGCCTGTGGGTTGTAGTTTGCTGAACCCTAGACTAACCTGTCTTTCATTTCCTGACCACACCCTGTTCTTTCTGCAACTTTTCATGAGTGTCTATCACATATATGAACTATGCTAAAAACATTATTAGGGGAATTTCCTGGTGGTCCAGTGGTTAAGAATATGCTTGCCGATGCAGGGCCCACGGAAGATTCCACATGCCATGGGGCAACTAAGCTCATGAGCCACAACTACTAAAGCCTGCGTTCCACAACAGGAGACGCCCCTGCAGTGAGAAGCCCACTCACTAAGCTAGAGAAAGCCTGTGCACCGCAACAAAGATCCAGTGCAGCCAAAAGTAAATAAATGAAACAAAATAGAACAAACATTATTAGACTCTGTGATATTTGAGTTTTCCTGTATTTATCTCTTGTTTCTCCAGTGACCTCAAAGGCCCTCTTTTCTTTCATCTTCTCCATGAGGCCGAACACATTGCTGAGCTGAACATATTTTGGTTTCTTCTGATATTTCTTGCTTTGATTTTTCTGATTTTGAAATCACTAGGGAAGGATATAGTTAAATTCACTAAAATCCACCCATTTATATTTGGTGTTCAATCACCTTTCCCAATTTCAGGCTTCTACTTTTTTCATGGAGCAACCTTCAGCTCTCCCTGCAAGGCCCATCCTACAGAGCTTTGCTGGCAGTTAACTACATTCATCATTTGTCAGTCAACAAGTATTTATGGAGCGTCTGCCAATATACTCTAGACTATGCTGGTAAATGTGAACATTAAAAAAAAAAAATACAGTCTCTACTCTGTTTATAGACTGTGTTAGATATTGGAGGACACATTCCCCCCCAAACCATACTGCCCATGAGTCACACCCTTTTGAAGTCCTCTCCCTCATTGACTCTGGGTTTGGTTGTGTGACTTCCTTGTAAGATATTAACAAACATGAAGCAACTAGATAAGTGCTTGCACATCAGGGCTCTACTTTTGGAAATGTTGCCTTTTGGAACTCAGCTTCCATGCTGTCAGGAAGCCCAGGATGACCTGCTGGAGAGGAGGTTATGAAGAGAGGCCCTGGAGAACAACACACCACATGGAAAGAGGAGCCAGCCAGTTCCTAGCTGTTCTAATCTCAACTGAGAATCAGACACATCGGACTGCCTATGATGATGGGCCGCCAGGAAGAGTGACACAGGGAGGTATTCTGGCATTCCCCTGAGGCACCCTCTCATTTCTCCCAGAGCACTCACATAGGTGGCAACCTACCCACCTGCTCATAAAGCCAATAAAAATATTTCTATTGTCATTTTTGAAAAATCCTAAGGCAAAACCCCTGGGAACCCTAGTGGGGCTTCTCTCTTTGAAAGGAGAGCCAAGAACACCTAGGTTTACACCTCCTACTTTGTAAAATGACCAAATGCTAGGTCTCATTTTCCTGTTACCCATCCTGGCCCTTCTTGTTCACAACATGATTTGGTTTCTTGTTTTTATTTACGCACTACCCAATTAAAGGCTGAGTGCGTCTCTGCCATCCGACTTGTTGGCTTCCTGATGGCCCAGCAGCACCCTGAGTTAAGATCCAGAGCTGGACAACTCCCACAGCATACCACCATTGATGGCTTGCTTCTCTGAAGTCCCCACTAGAGCATGCGGTCCTCAGAGGAAAAGATTTCTTATACTCGGTGTTGTGTCTCCAGAGCTTACATAGTGGCCAACATGGATGGATGCAGTAAATGTGCAATGAATTAGGGAGAAAACCCAAAAATATAACAACCACAAAACCAGGCAAATTAGGGTGGAAGGCATACTTGGCATAAAACTTCACTAACATTTATTGGCACAACCCAATTCCAGATTCTGTGCTAGCCACTTTAAGAACATTTTGTTCTCTCTCTCTCTTTTAAGAAAAATTGTATTTATTTGGCTGCACTGGCTGTTAGTTGCAGCATGTGGGACCTAGTTCCCTAACGAGGGATTGAACCCAGGGATTGGGAAATTGGAGTCTTAGCCACTGGACCACCAAAGAAGTCCCTCTCTCTCATTTTGTGTTTAACAAGTTTTAATTACATTTGGAGCAGTTTAACTACTTACCCACAGAGCTGTAATTCAATCAGGCCCTTCTGTTCCCAAGTCCACACTTCTCTTTCGAGCTCTTCTTCTGGATCGTGAAGTCTACCCACTTGCTCCTTTTTGGAGGTCACCAAACAGGAGTGGCACAGTGGTAAAGAATCCACCTGCCGACACAGGATATGTAAGAGATGCGGGTTCAATCCCTGGGTCGGGAAGATCCCCTGGAGTAGAAAAAGGCAACCCACTCCAGTATTCTTGTCTGGAAAATTCCACATGGAGAGGAACCTGACAGGCTTCAGTCCATGCAGTCACAAAGAGGTGGACATGACTAAGCATGTACACTCACAAACAGGGGCAGAAGGTGGAGACTGAGGTGGCTCCCTTGGAGAATTTCTGCTTGGGGCTCAGGAAGGACCTACTTACCCTTGCGTGCATGCTGGGGAGGGCTAGGTGCAGACAGAAGGGGCCTTTACTGTCTTTGCGGACCTTTTCCTGGGTGTCAGGAGGAAGGGTTTGGCACCCAGACTGCACTGGGAGTCATAAGCACGAGTCCCTCCCAGGCCACTCTTTTCCTCCTCAGGACAAAGTTACTGTTCTCTGGAAGGACTGACAGGTATGAGAAGGCAGCCAGGCCTGCCCGGGCATAGGGTGGGGCATCATGATTAAGACTGGGAGCCAGGGGTGGGGAAG